CTGAAAAACCTTGCCAAGAAAACTGCAGGGACATGTCCAGGCAGTCTCCAAGAATCAGACATGATTGAAGATTTTTTTTAAAAAAAATGTTAACTACCAGCTTCTATCACCTCTCAGGAAAGGGGAGGATTTTTCTCTATTCTTAATAGCCCAGTGTTTGTCCACAGCAGGTTCTTAATCTTTTCTGTTGTTTTGTTTCCAGTACATGCTCCCATGTGATAAGCTGTCTGAGCTTCCCACTGTATCTCTAGTGCTGGGAGGGCAGTCTTATAATCTTACTCCAGATCAGTATGCCTTAAAAGTAAGTTCTGTAACATTTCCGGTGTTCTTCTTTATCTTAACACTTACCAGCTTATCTTAGGCATATTTTCTGTATTTTACACTTAGTGATAGTTCTGTTGGACTTGTATTGAATTACTCATTCACATTTCAGAAGATAGTGGGGGCTTCAGAAAGTACAGTGGACTAATCCCAAGTGTGTTTATACTCTGAGATGGGTCAGGAGTAATGTTGAACAGACATTACATACGAGTTTGCAAAGAGATCTAGAAGAACTTAACTGCATGCTATTTTAGTGTTAGCTGAGAAATCTGTAGTAAGCAATAAGAGAACTTCATGAAGAAAAAAGCATTATTAAAAAAAATCATTCTTTGAAATACAGGAATAAAAATATGACTTTCATAAAAACTCTTCACATACTTACTAAAAATGTTTTGATCACTGATTTTCTGTTACATATATTTTTTTGATTGGATACTATAAAGCTTTAAGTTTCATGTTATATAGATTTTGCCATAGAATTAATCCTTTACAAAGGAATAATGTTACAGAACAAACTATCTTATTCCTTGTTTTACTTTTTCCCCCCCTCTGTAGGTTACTGTTCAAGGAGAAACTCTTTGTCTGAGTGGATTTTCAGGCTTGGATGTCCCACCACCTGGTGGGCCTCTTTGGATTCTTGGTGATGTTTTCATTGGGCCATATTACACAGTATTTGATCGAGATAATGACTCTGTTGGTTTTGCAAAGTGTAGCGGCAAAGTGTAAAAGTAATTAATCACTGCCTTCCACAGTCTCAATACAAATGCACCCCCAAGCACATTGTGCTTTTATATTGTGACTGATTGTATTCAGAACAAAATCAAGAAAATAAAAATGAGAGGAAATGTACATCTTAATTTTTAAATGAGAAAAGTTACTACTGATCTTCCAAAACTTACTTGCCATCATTCTGATAGCATACCATATAAAGGCTCTAATAAAATTACGAATTCTGGGGAGTCCTAGTATTGTATGTACCCTTCAGATTTCTGGTTCTTTGAAGCATGTTCCTTTCATATGTTTTCGAGCATAAGTTGTTTTGTGTAACCAACTTTCTGTTTTCTGCCCACCCTTCCCCAAATGATATATGCTCTTGGATAGTTTCCTAGCTATTCTCCCATCATATATGTATATACGCATATATACCATATATGTATGTACATATGTATGTATATTGCAGTTAATCATTGAAAAGTTCTCAGTTGAGAAGGCACCACTAAAATTGCATTAGATCCTCTATTTGCACTGTTGGATATAAAATATATATACTAGCTATATCTCTGTCATCTTGGAAGTGTGGAATATGACAGAGTGGTTCTGACTTGACACATTTTATAAAACATGGCTATGGTTAGTAGAGAATACTTGGGAAATAGCCATTGTAATGGGGAAGGTAAAGGTATCCTTACGTTAAATGGCCATTTAGCCTAAGATTCCCCTACTCAGGTAGTATGTAGTGTTGTGAATATTTTGCTCTTCAGTTTTCCAAACTTTTTGTACTTCCTAGTTTCTTTTTGAGGTATGAGAACAGAGACCATATGGTGACTTTTCCCAAAAAGTACTTCATGTAAGGATTTATGAGACATTTTGGCTCAAGTTAGTTTTGAAAAAGTTTGTAATCTGTCTTTCTCATTAATATGACATCACAAGTTTTACTTAAGAAAGGTCAAGTCTACCATTGCATTCTGTTGTGAAGAAGAAAAATATTGTAAGCAACTCAGCAAAGCATGTTCAGCTCTGGGGAATTTAGTCTGCAGAATGAAATTCCATGAATAGCTCTATATATCCAAATTCTTTTTTCATAGATTTCTGTATCAATTGTTTCAGAAAAGGAGCAGTTTCTGCACTGGGTTTTGCTTTGAGCCTGACAAGTTGTATGAGCAACTATTGTAGAGCAATGAGACTTGATAGATTACAGAGCTGGAATGTTGTTAATACTAGGTTGTGAAAAAAGAGACTTTAGTTAATCTGAAATGTTTCATAATACTTGAACCCAATCAAAAGGCTATGAGAAACCATGGACAACAGAACAGGAGATTAAGAATAAAGCAGGGTTGTTTCAGGTAAAGCGAATAGCACTTCACTGAAGATGCTATTCTAAATTAGATGAGAAAAGGGTAGAATTCAGGTAGATAAAAGAAATCAGGAATTTGAACATATCTTTATGAATATACTGCATATCCTGTAGAAGTTTTGTAACTTTTCCCAAAAAGTACTTCACGTAAGGATTTATGAGACATTGGAGCTGAATATATTGGAGCTGAATAAATCGGATACAAATAAGCAGTTGTGATAGAAGTGGGTAGAAGGCTCTGCAGAAGATGAGAGATGGGGTGCCCATCAGGATTTCTTCTATTTTGTTAACATCTCATTAGGTTTGTTAACAAGAATATATCATTAAAAATATAATGTGTTTATAAACATGTGGAAGATACAGATATATCTTAGAGAAACAATTCCAATATAGCGTGTTCTGAATAGCTCTAAGCATAATCTAGTTTTCTTTAAGCTCTCTATTGAATGCCTGCTTAAGAAATGATAGACCCAAAGTTGTTAAATAGGCCTACATTTCAAACTTATGAGATGCTGGATTTTGTTTAAAAGGCAAGAACTGTAGAAAGAGGGTCTTAAACATTCGTGCAAGGATGGGATTGAATGAGGCCTCTGTCTTAAAATACATCAGACACTGAAACTCATTAGGGCTGATTAATAGGTTCACAGTGTTGCATATTGGAGCTGATGGCAGCAGTTAATGTTGGATGTGTAGAAGTCTCTCTAGTGCCAACAGCCAAGTCTTGACCATATTGACATGATATTGGACGTTTAAGCCATTATGTCAGGTAAGGGAACGCTGTTGTATAGCAGAGCCCACATTCTCGAGGAGGAGAATAAAGTCCACCACATCTTATTGGCAGTTGTCTTTGTACATCTGAAATGCAGATTGCACTGCTGGATTAGTGGTTCACTGCCATTCCCCTGGTGGCTTGGAGTATTCTCTTGCTTGTTTTCTCTAATTTATGAAATGCTGTTATGCTTGCCTGCTCAAAAGATACAATCTGTTTCATAGCTGCTATCTTCTCAACTAGTAATTGAATAAATTAAAAATAAACAGTTTTCATTGCCACTTCCTATCATGTCATTCTTTAAAAAGTAGTCTGGATAAACTTTAAAGGGAGTCCATGATTCAGTGTGGACATTGACCTGATTCACATATCATACCAAATGATACTGTAGTTGGTTGCTGTTGTTTTATCGTGATGTATGAACCCATTCCTGGGGGGGGGGGGGGGGATTTTTGAAACCAAGATTTGTTTTATGAGGCTCATTTTAAGTTTGGCTTGTAAAAATGCATTCAGAATCCTGATTAATATTTCTTTTCCTGGTCTGCCCATTTCTTTTTGGTACTGGCAGAAGCAGTGGTAAAAAATTAGGGATTGACTGAACAAGCCAGTTACTTTGTTTATTACAGACTCCTGACTTTTTCCAACCCTGACTAAATTGTGCAGACTAGTGCAACAATATGAGCTGCAAGACTCCTGGCAGTTCGTATCAGTAAAATAATGTAAACAAAGCGGGATTTAAGAAAACCTTTCTTCCTGTCCAGCTCTGTGAATCACCCCATGCATTCCAGAAACCCTGTATTTGGCCCTTAATCTACACAAGGCTGGTGCGTGCAGTCAGTCAGTCAAATTTGAAGTTTGACCATTTCATTTTCAACTTATATTACAAAAATAGCAGTAACATGGCTTATTGTAAAAAAAATACAGTCTTGATTTTTTTAGGCAAATAACAATAGTTTGAAACTGACACAGTTCCTCTGCAATTGTTCAAAAGTCAAATGACACAAAATTATATGAATATTAGGTGAAAAATTGAACAGGTTCGAGATTTGCTTTATAAGCAAGGGCTTCAATATTTCACCACCGGTGAATATATTTTACTCTTTAGGAAACTCTTATTTGGTATACAGTATTATTAGTTTCTATTGGGGTGAGAAATAAAATGAAATGCAAATTTAAAATGTTTAGGTAACTACTTATGCATAATGGCAGCTACCTCCCTTATATGCACACTTCATTACTAATTATAGCAAGGTATTGTTTCTACTCACTTTTGTAAAAGCTACAGTCTTAACTTAGAAACTAAAACCAAAGCATTAATGCCCACTGGGGCTGTGGGGAGGCAGGATTTCAGAGTTCTGGTCAAGAGCTCTTCTGTTTTGTTCTAGATACCTTTCATAGCCAGCTAGAGACTCAACTTGCTATGGTACTACACCTCTTCTGGAATCGTCTATAAGGCCTACTGTGTTTTCCCAGTCCCTGTTGATCAGGCATTGCCATGCTTCATTATTTATTAACAGAGAGTGTACAAGTGCAGAGGCAGCCTGTTGAACTTATAAAAAAGATCAAATGTATCCCGCTACATTTATTAGCACTCGGTCAAGGTCACAACACAGTATGTAAACTTTAAGTTCTTCTGAACTTTCTTCATCCAAGGCAGTAAAGGAAGACACCCCTCCTTCAATAACAGTGTACACGATGCAGAAAAGTTGCTGACGTTCAAGCTGTGGGGGGGTGTGCGCGCTGACACAGCCTGCACCCAATATTGATTCCACTCCTATCCATTCACCATGACCGGAGCACGAAGAGCGCTGCCTCCCCTGAGGCGCCCTGCTGTTCCTCCCGGCCTCACTTGGAGATTCTTCTCCCCGCTCCGCCCCGCGCCCTTCATTGAAGGGGTCGCGATGTTCGCGCCGGAGTGACTAATACTTTTTCAGTGTTGCTAGCCACGCATGGCGTACGTGATGGTCCAAGGGCAGCCTCAGGATGACCCCGTCGCCTTTTTTCAGCTTCTCAAAGCCCTATCTAATAAACGTCGAAAGCCCGGAGCCTGGAGATCCCTGCGCTGTCACATGGCAGTTGCGGGAGGACTGCCTTTACGGCAGATAGGTGAAAGCGGGGAGGGGGAGGGGGCTTGACAACTGTGGAGTTTCCTTCCCCCCAGAAGAAGGTCGCCGTGTGTGGGCGCGCGTGTTTGAGAGAGAGAGAGAGCGAGAGCACGCGCGCTTGGAGCCGAGAGACCAGCAGCAGCGGGGAGAGAAACGCGGACACGTGGGAAGAGCGCGCTTGGCGAGGTGAATAGGAGCTGGACGGCCTCCAGGTTCTCGAGAGCGGGTGCGCGCACGTCTTGCCCCGCTTGGGCCGAGGCAGAGAGAGGCCGTTTGACCTCTTTCCCCGCCCGCTCCTCCCTCCCTCCCTCATCGCCTCCACTAACTCCAGTTGCTAAAGAAGAGACAGTGGCACTGCTGAGCTGGAGATGCAGCACAACTGCCCGCCTCCCTCCTCGTAAGTATCCTCTCGCCCTGCTGTGATGGACGGATGGACGGATGGATGGACGGACCGACGGACGGCTCCGGTGCCTGTGGGTCTACGGGCAGGCTCCGTTTCGTAATTGCAAAGCTGATGGGATAGGAGAAACGCCAGCGAGAGAAGGAGCGCTTCTTTCACTCTTCCCCCTCCTCTCCTCCCCCTTTTTTTCTCCTCCTCTTCCTCCTTTCTTCCTCGCCACCCGCCACCGCGCGACGTTGACCAAAGGGAAAACTACTGACAGGTGAAGAGGGGGAGGGAGGGAAAGTCGACCAGAAATTTAGCCAAGATGAAACGCTCTGCAAAATGGGCAGAGACCGAGAGGGGGAAAGCATAGGAGGCCCGGCTTCTCTGTCGCAGCTGTGCGGTCTGTTCCAGGAACAGCCTGGCTGTCGTCGCCCATCCGGCCCGGCAGTTTCGGGGTCCTGATGCTGGCACGGGACAGGAGAGCCCCGCGGAAGAGATGGGCAGAGTGGATGAGAAGGGTCGGAGGGAGAGGTGGGGAGGGGAAGCCTAGAGTCTCCTGGCAGGGAGGGAGTCCTTTTCACCCTGAGTCCTGCTCTTGCTCTCCTCTTTAGAAGTGTTCTTCCCTCGTCCAGTTTCCAGATGGTGGTGATGATGAATCAACACTGTTAGGAATGTTAAATGAGTGACTGAGGAGAGAACTGCTGCTGTTTTTGTCCGAGAACATAGCGCTGCAAAGGACTTTAGCAGGGGGCAGTGGAACAGGAAACCCACAGAGCAGAGGAGCGGGGGAGAAAGAGAGGGCTAGGGAAGGCAAGTGTGGATGTGTCAAGCTCCTCGCCTCTCCCAGGGAATTAATGAACTCCTAGCTGTTCTGTGTGGGAGGCAAGGGAAGGCGAGCCAAGCCTACTGCGGAGCTGGGACACCCAGCTGCAGGGAATCCAGGAACTGTTACAGTGCTGCATGCGTTAATGACTGCTCTGTGTGCCAGAGAATACTCCTTTGTGGTACATGTGTTTGAACAGGGTCCTCTCTTTTTCCTCCTTGCCTGGAAATCCCTCCTTTCTCCCTTCTCTTTCTTGCTGTTTCTTATCTTCTCCACTACCTCTTTTCTATTTCTGACTTCCTGCATCCGGTATTTTGTTTTTATCTCTCACATCTTTTCCCTTCCTGACTCCCCCCACTTTCTTCATCACTATCTTTCTCAGGGGAACACACTTTCCTGGGATATAGTTGTATAAACGGGGGGCTGCCATCACGGAGAGACCACAGGAACCCCCCTTGGGCCCTCCGTGTCCCCTTGACGGGGCTTTCTGGACTCGAAGACCCCCTCACGCACCCCAGCAAGGGTGCTTTGCCTGCATCTCCAAGACACCCCCTATACAGCAAGGATCACCTGTGCTGTCTCCATCTTCTGCTGTTTGCCTGATGGAGAATAAGAGCTGCAAAGGGGATAGCCTGAGACCACCGGTCCAATGCAAACACTCCGTCGAGAAGAAAACGATGACTAATCCCACTGCTGTAATTGAAATCTACCCAGACACCACTGAAGTGAACGATTACTATCTCTGGTCCATCTTCAACTTTGTATACCTCAATTTCTGCTGTTTGGGCTTCATTGCCTTGGCATATTCTCTGAAAGTAAGTATGAATCTCAGCCCTGTATGATTAAGCTTGCTGGGTTCAGCCCATCCTTTTAGCAAGACTCAACTGATTGATGCTAATTTACTCCAGTTTGGAAACGAGAACTATTCCTTGTTGCATATTATCAAGCAGGGAGCGGGAGGAAGTATATCTTATATTGTTAAGATGGACATTCTGTAATGGGATGATTTTGTTTGTCAATTCAGGCCTGTGATCCAAAAATATTATGAAAAGGTATGCTGCTGGTTGTTGATTTTAGGGAGAAGAAGATAACCTGGAGGCATCTTCATAGGGAAAATAAATCATATACAGTCTAGATGGCTACAATAAGAAATTAAATTGCTCATTGCAATTTAATTTAATTGCCTCTTTCAGGTTCATGATCAGGAAGATAAATTCATTTTACAACTGGTAGATTGTAATGGTAAGACCAAGTTGGGTGGGATTTAAATATAGATCTCCTACTGGGATATAGATTCTTCATGCTACTGTGATCATGCCACCACCATCAGAAGCCATTTTTATATTATTCTAATACCGATCCTTTCATCAGTTTGTATACTGCATTTATCTTTATACTAATCATATAGAGTGGATCCTCAATATTTTTATAACAAGGCTGTAGTTTTCAAGAGAATCTGCATTAGTACAGGGATTTTGTCCTAGGGCCAAGGATTCTCATTAACTTTCCTCTTTTATGAAGCATTAGAGAAGTTGCTTCATGTAGTCAGACAATGGTCCATTTAGCAATGGATCCATCTTGATTGGCAGCAGCTGTCTAAGATATCTCTGAAGATTTCAGGAACTGAACCTAAATCTTCTGCATATAAAACATATGCTCTGCCACTAAAGTACTCCTCTTCAGTACCTTCCAAACTTTTACTGTATATATAGAAAAAATAATTGTCATCTTAAAAGGCAGGAATATTGTAGGTTCTATACATATTTGCTGCTCATCAAATCTATCACAGTGGTTTTGGTCATCCAATAAAAAGTTTTGTATTTAATGGTCTAATGGGAAAAAGAGCTCAAGATTAAGGCTGCCAGCTTGGGTTGAAAACATCTGGAAGACCATTAGATGTCAACAGACAAATTCAGAAAACACCAACCCATTGCCACTGTCATCCAGAGCTTTGCAGTACAGATCTGATAGCCCTACATAATAATTCATAAACCCATGGCATTGGATCCTGACCTTTAGAAAGAAACCTTTTTGTTTCTGGAATTTGAGTAGCTACCAATGAAAAGGATCCTTTGGGGTGGGGGAAAAAAAGCAGCTGCAAATCATAAGCAAAGGTTTGTACTTGTCAGCTTCTAATGCTGCCTTTTGGAGGACCTCTGAATCTCTTATAAGACCATGCTGCTCACTCCATAGGCCACCTTCTTCTTTGGGAAAATAAGAATAGGAAGGGATGAAAGAAACCGCTGCTACTCATATCACCCAGGCAAAGAAGAGGCGAGCAATGTTCCACTGGGACTCATAAACTACAAGGTCAGAAACCGAGACCTTCTAGGAGAACTCCTAGTTAGAATAATAGAAGCAATGGGAGAGGGAGAAGGTATGGATGTGACACGCGTTATGGATCAGAAAGGTAGATCTGGAACTGTTTTAAACTGTTTGTTTAAAAATGGGAAATTAAATGAACTGCCTGAGTGCGTGCTTGTTAAAGAGAACCTGCAGTCTGTTACACAGTTATAAAAACTCTTTGGCTTATTTGGCCATTACAAAATTGGAGATGGTATTAGTGAGAGAGGGGAAGATCTGGCTATATAGCTTCTCTAGCTTGTATAATATTTTCTAATGTAATACAATCCTCTAAACACAGCAAACCTGCTGTAATTATTTCTCATAACTGCAGGGAGAATATGAGACAGCTGGACTCCAGGAATTTCACTGCTGAGTACAGCCAAAAAGCAAATTGTGATCATCTGTCAGTGATCACAGAATGGTAGCTTCCCCTCCCCCCCCCTTTCTTTTTCTTTTTGCCCCTTTTTAATAAACTGGAATGAGAAGATGAGGATGACCTTAGAAAGGAATATATAACATATTTCACAGGCAGCATTTACACTATTTTGAGGGATTTATTTCATCCCAGAAACAGATAAATTGATTGCCTATATCCAGCAACTATAAATTCTGCAAGAGGGCAGTGAGGTCATTTCCAAGCTAGCTGCACTCTGTCTCTTTATCAATTCAAGCTGGTTACCCCAAACTTGATTTAGACTAATGGGTTCCTATGCTCCTAATTTTTTGCTGGGAGGGGAGAGGGAAAGGGAGAGGGAGACTCAATGATTGGCCTACATTTCTAACTTGCATTATGTGTGATTAGTTTGCTTTAGTCTCTTAAAAAGAGATTTTGGGAGGTTATTTAATGTGCTCAGCCAATAGCTGTACAGGCTTAGCATTCCTTAGCAGGGTAACCCCAAGATACATGGCTTACCACCAGCACCCTTTGAAAGCTGGATTTGTATCCAGTTTAAGACTTGTATTGCCTTTGAAAAATGCAGAAAAGTCATTCTGATCATAAGATCTCTTGCTCCCAGTTTAATATTGCAGCTCCTGTTTTTGTATTATTACATGTCTTAACTTACAAGTTCCTCATCTGACTGTGGCAGTCCTCGATGGATGGATGGACGGACACAATGCGATGCTTTTCTTATAGCAGTAGAGAACAGTTGAAAAATAGTCTGTTGTATAGAATTTACATATGTGGGCACTGAGGGCAGAGAGTTGAATTTCCATGACAAATCCATCTTCTAGGCCATCCAGTCTTGGCTATTAAGTTATTGCTTTTGGTCATGTAGCCACCATGGTTCCAAGTCATGTTTTCTTATCAAACTATTTCAGGTTACATTCCTGCATTCCATGCTGTACATTTCTTCAATCCTCACTAGTTTTGTGCTCATACACATGCCTTGGGTTTAGTGTTTTGGACAACATATTAGGGCCCAATAGGGCCAAGTTCAGCCCCAGAGCAAAGAGACCTAAGATTAATGGCTGCATTTGGAAGCTGAACTTTGAAGTGTAGCAAGCTGAAAGTCCTGCTCTATTATCCAGGTAAGGACATCCAGTAATTGTACTGGGCCAAACCAGATAGTTGTAAATTACAAGTGTATATATTATTCACTCTTGCCTCCTTCTTAACTCTTAAATCTAAGGCCCTGAGCACACAGTCCTAGGTACCTAACGAGGCCAGGAAGCAAACCTGGGGTGATTTCTGTGTTTAGGCCCTATATTCTTGACTCACAAACAGCAAATGATCATGCCCTTGCTCTTAATAAATTATCTCTTATACTTCTGCTTCTAAGCCAGCTTATTAACTGAAGAAGAAATGAGGAAAATAATGGTCTGTATAACCTTTGAAGCAAATTGAAACGTATGAGACTCTGCATTTATAATACCTTCTGTTCAAAAATTAGATTTTAAAACAAAGGACGTGAGCAGTCTTTACTGAGTATACAAAAGTACTGCGTAGTACGGATCTGTATTAAGGGAGTTGAATAAATTTTTATTCCTCCCCCCACATCAGGTTTATTTTTTATTTTTCAAGTACCATCCCAAGTTGTAGCAAGTAACTGCATCTAGCTAGCCTTGTCTGAGCTTGAAAACCTAAACAGGTATGGATCTGGTTTGTACATGCATGGGTGACCATCAGGAACACCCAGAAAAGTGTAGACAAGACTGGAAAGTTGAAAAAGAAGGCAAACAACTTCTATATCATTGCCAGGAAAACAACATGGATATATCCATGTGATCACCAGGAGTTGAGCTCATCCCCAGGACATTGTGGTAGGGAGGAAGGAAGCTATTGATGGTTCCTCTTTGTGACCTTTGCTAAGTCTGTGCAGAATACTGGGTGGCTGTCTCTAACATCTTTGCCAGGGTGAGAAATCTGAAGTCCTTCACTGGTAAAAGTGAAGAGCTAAAGTCTGACAAATTTTCAAGTATCTCTGCCCAAGGGGCTTGTAAGAAAATTGAGTGAAAATAGTTTCACAGACATTACAATACTGCTAGCAAAGGGACAGTGAGAATGGGAAAAGCTATTGCATTTGTGATCAGCTTAGGAAACAGTGTATTTATAAAAGCTGGTTTTATGTTGAATTGGCTAGATTATTCAATGACAGAATTTTTGAATGACCTAGAATGATGGAAAAGCAAGATTACATTTTGCTATAATCTAATGCTTATCAGCATAGACAACAGGCATACTGAATAATAATTGTGCCCCAAAAGGGGGTTAGATTAAAAAAAACAAAACCTTCTAAGCAGGAGTGGCAGAAGATAATTCAGGACTTATTGGTAGATTTCTGGGGATTTGCAGTAGTTCAATCCTATCTGGCTTCCCGTTATTTAACAATTATAATAATATTCTCTGTTACCCTAAAACATGCTGCTAATATGAAATAACCTGAGAGGAGGGCAACAAGAAATGTATTTGGGGTACAGAGGTTTTTGGGTTCTATTCAGTTCTGACATTAAAGCAAATTTGTGGGTTCTGAATACCTTAATTCTAAGTATATTTCTTTTGCATTAGGCTCTGGATGATGGAATTCTGGGAAATGGCAAAATAGATTCCATAAGCCTTAAATGTGTTCATCCATGCTCCAAAATATGATGGAAATAGCTCTAACATTTGACCCATGTTTTATGTATTCAGTATTATTTGTTTTCAGGGCATAGACTAAGTGTCCTATAACCCTGTCCTTCACAGTGTCTCTTAATTCATTAATTTCCGGTGGATAAGGAAAGGAATGTTAACAAATTGATTCCAACATGACTGCTACTGAAAACAGGACCAATATCTATTTTATATTTGGTTAAGTTTTCTCATGTGCAGCACCTGCTGCATGAAGAAAGCTGAGATGATGTGGAGAAGATGAGATTAATTCTGCTATTTCCCTTATCCCTTTTCAGCCTATGTATGAAAATACTGCCACTTATTTTCACCTAGAAGTTGCCATTCTTTTTTTTG